GTTAATACGATTTTTGAACTGCCTAAGGTGGGGGCCTCGGTTGGCCGCGTTGGTCAGAGTGTCGTGCTACTGATCAGCCGGCCGGCCGGGCCGCGAGTTCGAATCTTGCCTTCGCCATGGATGTTGTGACGTCGTGTGTTTGTCGTCCATAATTATAGAAATATATAAAATATCCAACCTAGTTTCTGGCTGCATGGCCTAGTCCTAAAGCCAAAAAAAAAAAAAAAAAAAAAACTGCCTAAGGTTAGTAGAACTGGGAAAAGCTTCCTCTTGTAGATTGTTCCACAATCTAGACACCCTCGGGACAAAGGAGCGGTCGTATCGGCCAGTTTTGGATGTACGAAGTTTGACACGGTTAGGATGGGACGCCGAAGTCAGGCGTGTCTGTCTGGCAGGCACATCGCGCGGCGGCATCATAGAAGAGAGCTCTGAGGAGCAAAGCCCGTTGGTGTAGCTATAGAAAAGAGCTAGATCGCCGACGGCCCGCCGGTGCGAAAGAGCCCCGAGACTGTCTGTTAGAGAAGAGTCATCGATCAGTCGGACCGCCCTCCTCTGGACAGCATCGAGCATGGACAATGTAGTCGGGGCGGCACCACCCCAAATGTGTGATCAATACTCGAGGCTAGGCCTTATCTGGGCCTTGTATAGAGTGAGAAGGTCATGCGGAGAAAAGTACTTCTTAGCCCTAAACAAGTAGCCTAACTTTTTCCCAGCAGCTGCAGCTATTAACGAGATGTGTTCGTGCCAGATCAGGTCCTTGGTGATCTGGACTCCGACCAGCCGAAATTAATAGCTCTTTGGTAAGGAAACTGTATGAGCGCTAGGACGCTTTTTGTTCGTCAAAGTACAGTACTGTGTTTTGGAAGCATTGAACTGTACAAGATTGTTGCGTCCCCAAGCAGTGATAGCCTCCAGGTCTCTTGTCAGAGAAGAAGTCGTCGCTAGTCTTCTTTTTTCCATCTCAGCGGCAGGGATCGGCTTGTCACTCTGAGTTCCTGCATGTAGAGTGCTGTCATCAGCGAATCTGTGGATAGGGTTGATCGTGCAGGAAATGAGGTCGTTGATATGTAAGAGAAACAGTGTTGGAGCCAAGACCGATCCCTGGGGAACACCCGCGTTGACGTTGTGGGATGAAGAGGAGAATCCGTCAATTACGACGGATATCTTGCGGCCAGAGATAAAGTCAGCCACCCATCTGCAAAGCTTTTCTGGGAGGCCATAGGATGGAAGTTTGCTTAAGAGGGCAGCGTGTCACAGCTGATCGAACGCTTTCGTGATGTCAAGAGCAACGACATGAGCCTCACCATGAGACTGGATGAGTTTACTCCACAATTGCGTGACGTAAGCTAGGGGGTCCCCTGTGGATCGTTGGTGCCGGAAACCGTACTGTCTGTCGCTAATCAAGCTGTGACGTTCGAGGTAGTCCAGAAGCTCGCGATTTATGCACCTCTCCATCACCTTACTTAAAACAGAAAGCAGAGCTATAGGCATGCAGTTGTAAGGGTCGGTCTTAGACCCTTTTTTTGGGATGGGCTGGACATGAGCAAATTTCCAGTTTTCTGGGAAGGTGCCGGATTCATAAGATATCTGGAAGAGACGGGAAAGAACTGGAGCAAGCTCCGCTGCACATCTCTTCAATACGATGGCAGGAATCAAGTCCGGACCAGAAGCTTTGTTGATGTCGAGCGACAAGAGCACTCGTCTTACGGTCTTATGCCTGAATGTTACCTCCCGCATAGTGTGGGGAACCCTTTGAATTGACGGCACTTGGGCGTTGGTGGGGACGTCCATGGTGGAGTTGGTAGCAAAGATCTTGGCTAGCACTTCTGCCTTGGTCTTTGAGTCGAATACAATAGTTCCATCCTGACACGTAAGTGGTGGAAGGCTACTGTGTGAGAAGTTCTTTTCAATCTGCTTGGCCAGCGTCCAGAAAGACCGACTGCCATTACGCTGCGACATTACCGTGTGCCTAACTTTTATATCGTGCTGGTTTTTGGCATTGCGAACCGTTTCGTTATACATGTATTTGTTTCTGGACTCAACGTCGGCTTGTCTGTTCTCTACAGTGGGGTTTTGTAAGTAGGTTCTGTGTGCCTTGATCTTCTGCTGGCGAGTAGTGTCACACGATTTGTTAAACCAGCCGTTGGACCCTGGTTTAGGAGCTTTCACTGTGTGAGGGACGTATTCCTCCATTCCGACGTGGATAATTTCGGTTATCGAAGAACAGACAGTCGACGCATCCGCGTCAGTGAAACAGACATCTCTCCAAGGAAAGCTAGAGAAGAAGTCTCTGAGCCCCTCCCAGTCGGCATGTCCGTAATGCCAAGTTTTGCGGCCTGAACGAGTTTCTGCTGCCACAGCGGGTTCTGACCGAAACCTAACCTCCACAACACCGTGGTCTGAGTTAACCAGGGGGGACAGGACAGCAGTGCTGTAAGGGACAGGATACGTGGTCAGAAAGAGATCCAGCAGGCTATTGGCGTGTGACGAGACGCGGGGAAAAAAAGTAGGGCTCGTCGCCAGCTGGGTCAGCCCTTGAGTAAGAGCGAACGCTTCGACTGCAGGACCTGCTGCATCGGTCTTATTTGAGCCCAACCAAAGCTCATTATGGGCATTGAAATCACCGAGAAGAACTATCTCTGAAGCGGGGTGATTGATGTTCAGGAAGTCGATCTGGACGGCGAGCTATTCCAGTAGGTCATCCCAGTTATGGTTGATGATTGATGTTTTGGAGTTGAGGCGAAGCCACAGAATGTCCGTCCGGTCTGATTCCAAAGAAAGATCCCTGGAGCAGGAAAGACTGCTGCGGACAAAATCCACAACTCCCCCGTTCTTTCTCAGATTGGAGTGCACCTCATAGTTTGGGAAGTTGAGATGGTTAATCGGTGCAGTCTCTGAGATTTTTGTCTCCGCCAAGAAAAGCACGGCGGGACGATTGGATTGCAGGTAGTGATGAACAGCATCAATGTTGCTGTTAATCCCGCAGATGTTCGAAAAACAAATTTTATCTTCGATGTTGTTCCCTCGAGCCCACCCTCCACCCGGACATTCCGAGAGTGGAGTGAGTTTACGTCCGGAGTTCTTAGTGCTCGAGGGATCCATCATCATTAATTTCTTTATTTTGGAAGATAACCGACTGCATAGCTTAGGTGTGGAAACATGCGGACATTTATAAGACACCCTGGGAAAAGCTAGCGGGTGGTACCGCCTCGGTCGACTGGTCCTTGTCTACCACCTTCTTTTTACGTGTTAGTGATATTAAATAGACCTAAAGTGGCCCGTTGGCGGACTTGTACCGCCACCCGGCAATCGGTACAGAGGTATTCCTTAACACGTGTACAATCACTTGGACGGGAAGAAGTTGTATACTGGATACAACAACTTCCGGAACAAGCATTTGTCACGGCCCTCGGCCCTCGCTCAGTAGGGCTGATGCCTGATGATCATTTTGGGTCTCATTTAGAAAGATGCAATTACCGGAAATGTATTAGCAGAGTGCAATGGAAATTGATGGTTATCATGTAACTGAAAAGTATGTTGGAACCGGCGAACCAGATTTTCCAGACATTAAATAGTGTTCAGAATTGTAAAATGTACCAAAATGTTTATGTAAACATTGGAGGGGAGGTAAGACACTTGCTAATTGTGAGAGAAGTGGGTTAATAATTGCCAAAAGTCTGCTTATGTAATACTTGAATGGCCTCTTACGTACTCTAGGACAAACTGCTCGACGTTCAAAGCTAAGCGCAGAGATTTTGCGCAGCGCCATCAGGGTCAACGTGTCAAGTGGTCGGAATACCAGATAAAAGATCCTGATGAGTTGCGAATAAGCACAAAACAGCACGATCTGCGGATGGTCATAGTTAAGGTAGTCGCAAAGCAAACGGAAAAATTCTATTTTACACACTGGCTATATTAAAATTTTATAAAAACAAAATGGTAGATTTTAGTCAAAAATAAACGCTGAAATGCCTATTACACGGGTTACAGCTATTAGGTGTTTCTAGATTTGTCTTGATATTGCGAGTGCCACCAGGTATACTGAAATTTCACAATTATCTACTTCAAATTGCCAGTTACATTCTAATGTAAATTACACATAATATGTTTAAAGCCTTGCAGCTGGGATGAAAACTGAAAAAATGCCTGAACCCTGAAATTTTAACAAATCCTTAATAAACAACCTTCTAGATCCTATTATATTATGCTCCTTACCTCAATATTTGGCAGAGCACAGATTTCACCCTCATTTAGATTTTTACGTTCAACTGTATAACCGGCAACAGTGAATTTTGTCTCTGCACTTGGTGGCAAGAGTTTCAGGAGGACGACAATAGTGGAATACTGAGGGTAACGATATGCAAAGTTGGCTCAAGCTTGTATAACCAAAATCTTCATAGTTTATATCATTGGCAAACATTGACCTGAAAAAAAAAATGGTACCAATATCAAAATAACTGAAGGTTTGTTCCAAGTAGCAGTTCCGAACTAGTTCAGAACCAATTCTGGATTATTTTTCTGCACATGCACGGGGTAACTACAGTTCAGAACTAGTTCTGAACTATTCTGTTGGAACAGGCTTGTTATCGCAAACATTACATTAATTGAAGTAATAGTACGAAGTTTTGGCGTTTTTGGGGCTGGATGATTTCATTATTTTGTTTTTGGAAGAAGCATGGTCTGCTACAGTAGCAGAGAAAGAAATTAAGTGGAATGTTAGCAACATTAAGCTATTAATTGACTTGAAATAAAAGGAATATATAAGATTAATATTACTAATAACATGACTGAAACAAATTCATTAAAATTTATTATCAACACTTGACTATTTAATTTTCATTTTAGTTTCTTGGAATTCCTATAATCAATTCGAGATCTTTATTATTCATAAAACGTGACTGCCACATATTCTGATAGTACTTAAAGACAAGCACTACATTTTTCTAGAAGTGATATTTAGAAACAAATCATTTTTTTAAATGTATGAATAAGTGGCGTCTTTACCTATAGAGTTTGGGAAGATCAGCACACCATATCCCATTTTCATGTTGTCCTATCAAAAACTTTAGATTTTCTCTTATTGGCAGAGGGACATTGCTTAGAATATCGCGTACCTCGGCCGGTATTCTACCGAATAAAAGTGTTTTAGTTTTGCCACAGCCAGAATTTCTTTCATGATTTTCAGGTGTACTTGTATTCAGAACTGGTTTTTGGACTGGTTGCTGCTCAGGTCCCTGAACTGGTTCATCAACTGGTTTTTGGACTGGTTTTTCAGGATAGCTTTGATATGAGGAACCACTCTTGCGTGTTGGATAAAAAATCTTCTGGCGTTGAGGTTGTGTACCAGGTTGTTTGTAAGGATTTGTGATTACTGGTTTTTGATATAGGAGATGTTTTCTCTGTTGAATGGGGAAGGATTGCCTACAAAATGTTTCAGCATTAATAACATGACCTCCCAGATTAAAATAAAGCACACAACTGCATCAGTCAATCATTTCAAAAACCGCTTAGGTCAATTTTTAGCAACATACTTTTTCACTGAGAACATTTCAGTAAAGTAGGTGCTCTCTGCATGCACTACTACTCGACACTGGATACTTGAATGGGTCATTTCAAAAACAGCGCCAGAATCCTTGATCTGTTTTATTTTCATATTATGTGCTATATGCACCAAAATACCAATTTAATATCACTAACTAAAAAATTAAGTTGCTTCAAGAGGTTTCTGACTTTCAATGCCAGTGGCGAGAAAGTATCGTAAAAGTTTTATCAAAACGAGATTTATCTTTTTTGGATGTTATATGATATGTATATCATGAAAAATCATATCATTTCTGTCTGCTAATCCTTGGTCCATCTATAACTTGGAATGTACTACTTGCTTTTTGATGAATTTTCCACCCATGTTACTGCTACGCTCAGAAAAAAAATTTGGAGTGGTTCACAATGTATTGAGGGTTGTTGGAGAGTAGGAGGGTATATCTCAATTTTTTTGTCGGTATTATATTTATATGCTTTCAGTCCTGGTAATTCTTCACACCTATTAGACACATTTCACACATCATAGATTTTCCCATATATTTACTCCTAAAACTTTACAGAAATATCTTTGATACACATCTCTAGCGTTATAGTCTCCTCTATGAATGTCATTCCATCACTGCCATGCTGCTAAGAAGATAAGTGTATTTATTCATCGAGCAGTGATGTATGGTGAGTGGCGATGTTGCCAAATGGATGGTAGTATGAGTAGGGCTGTTTGACTGACTTGATCTGTTTAACTTGCTCTGTTTTATATGTGCATATCTAACTTTTTCCTCAGATGGTCATAATTTTTTTCGGACGTAATCCTTCATGAACATGAGCATTGCATCAACCTGCTTGACGTCATTTGTTTCTGTAAAAGTAACCTGAACTTAGATGAAATTTCTTGGCAGCTCTACATAAAACACTACAGTGCTGTGATCACCTTATGTGTTTGGACTTAAACACTATTACATTCAAATTTACTCTGCTGATCCTTTCTTTGTAGTCCCTGTGCAGTAAGTTTATTTCCAGTTTAAACAGAACTTCCAAGTCCATTTTATGGTATTGATGATTCATTATTACACTTTCACTATTGGTACGATATATAAGAATAACATTTCTTTCAGGTTAAAGGCAGTGGACCCATGGCAACAGTACTCCCTGTCGTTTCTGAAAAGTCCAAACATATAAATGAACTTGTTACAAATCAAAAGATAACTTTTAAAGAGGCTGCACACAGGTATATATCTTTATGTGACACTGTACATTTCAGTTTGGCTCAAAGTACTTAAGCTTATGAATCTTTTGAAAGTTAGAAATTCAACACATCAGTTGAAACTTCAAAATACAGTACAGTATTTTTTGTTCATAAAACTAAATTAATTAATACTCTGGGAAGTAAAGTAAAATTATTTTTCGCTGAACTTTTAAAATTAGTGTGTTAACACGGACATCACGGGAAACTCTAATCATTTGTAGAGGAACCACATGCTTACTTGACTAACAGACAGCAAAATTAACGGCAAGATAGGTTCACTCATATATTATATATATGGACAGATTTTTAAAACATTTAGAGTATAATCAAAGGATTTTGTCAGTCATACAAACTAGGAGAATTGGTAGGAAAAAATAAAACTCTTGAATAGGTGATTTTGTGAAAAGATGATAAGGAAAAGCGGTTACTGTATTCACCCATAAACTTAATTTTTTAGTTAGTGATATTAAATTGGTATTTTGGTGCTCAATACACATAATATGAAAATAAAACAAATCAAGGATTCTGGCGCTGTTTTTGAAATGACCCATTCAAGTACCCAGTGTCGATTAGTAGTGCATGCAGAAAGCACCTACTTTACTGAAATGTTCTCAGTGAAAAAGTATGTTGCTAAAAATTGACCTAAGCGGTTTTTGAAATGATTGACGGATTCAGTTGTGTGCTTTATTTTAATCTGGGAGGTCATGTTATTAATGCTGAAACATTTTGTAGGCAATCCTTCCCCATTCAACAGAGAAAACATCTCCTATATCAAAAACCAGTAATCACAAATCCTTACAAACAACCTGGTACACAACCTCAACGCCAGAAGATTTTTTATCCAACACGCAAGAGTGGTTCCTCATATCAAAGCTATCCTGAAAAACCAGTTGATAATAAATTTTAATGAATTTGTTTCAGTCATGTTATTAGTAATATTAATCTTATATATTCCTTTTATTTCAAGTCAATGAATAGCTTAGTGTTGCTAATATTCCACTTAATTTCTTTCTCTGCTACTGTAGCAGACCATGCTTCTTCCAAAAACAAAATAATGAAATCTTCCAGCCCCAAAAACGCCAAAACTTCGTACTACTTCTTTAAAATGTTTAACCAAGCTACTCATCTTTTGGAGGAAGATTGGTAGTTTTAAATATTACTTCAATTAATGTAATGTTTGCGACAACAAGCCTGTTCCAATAGAATAGTTCAGAACTAGTTCTGAACTGTAGTTACCCCGCGCATGTGCAGAAAAATAATTAAGAATTGGTTCTGAACTAGTTCGGAACTGCTTCTTGGAACAAACCTTCAGTTATTTTGATATTGGTACCATTTTTTTTTTCAGGTCAATGTTTGCCAAGGATATAATCTATGAAGATTTTGGTTATACAAGCTTGAGCCAACTTTGCATATCGTTACCCTCAGTATTCCACTATTGTCGTCCTTCTGATTCTGATTTCAAATTGTATGATAGCAGCAAACCCTTGCCACCAAGTGCAGAGGCAAAATTCACTGTTGCCAGTTATACAGTTGAAAGTAAAAATCTAAATGAGGGTGAAATCTGTGCTTTGCCAAATATTGAGGTGAGGAGCATAAGTCCTTTGAGCTGGAAAAAAAGGAATAAAACCAAACTAGTTACATTATGAAGAATTATTATATTTTGTTATCATCTTTATTGAATGGGAATTATGTTTTATAAATCACATCGTCTAAATGCAATCCATTACGATCACGGCACTCATATAAACGACGTCTAAAATTGTCGATGACTGCGCGGCAAGTCAACACTGTAATGCTTGCCATTTCTCTTCGGATATTTTCTTTCAGGACATCAACTGATCGCGGAGTGGTGTCGTACACTTTACTCTTGAGGTAGCCCCATAAAAAGAAGTCCATTGGGGTCAAATCTGGACTACGTGGTGGCCAGGAAATGTCTCCTCTTCGAGAAATTACTTTGCTGGGAAAAAGTTGACAGACGACGGGCATAGAAGTGTTGGAGGTGTGGGCAGTTGCTCCGTCCTGTTGAAACCAGGTCTGCGTATTATAGCCTGGAAAATTCTGCAACGCTGGTGTCAAAAACTCTTCTATCATTGCCACATACCGCTCCGAAGTAACAGTTAATGCGCGACCTCTGTCGTCCTCAAAAAAATAAGGGCCTACGATGCCATGCGCTGACATAGCAGCCCAAACTGTAACTTTAGGGCTGTGTAAGGGCTTCTGATGCTTACGCCTTGGATTTTCGGGGCTCCAATAACGGCAATTTTGTTTATTTACATGTCCATTTAAATGGAAGTGAGCCTCGTCCGAGAACAACACATTATTGAGCGAAGAAAATCGATTCAACATTTCATTCGCAAAGTTTAGTTTCTGAATAGCGACATTATCTTTTAATTCCTGCACTAACTGAATTTTGTAAGCGTGCAGACGTAAATCTTTCCTTAAAATCCGCTGTAAAGATGTTCTGGGTACGTTTAGTGCACTGGAACGCTTACGAGTAGACTGGGTAGGATTTTGACGAACAGAGTGTGCCACAATGTTGATGTTTTCTTCAACACGAGTTATCCTTGGTCGACCCCACCGCTGTTTATCTAACGTTGAACCAGTCTCTTCGAACTTAGCAACCCAGTTCTTAATCGTTTGAGCTGTTGGACACTTTGTAAAATTGTGTAAATTGTGGTATTCTCGATATTTACGCCGCGCAATGGTTGCCGAATCATTATTTTGATAAAACGCGCGCACACAAAAAGCACGATCCGCTCCAGTGAAACACTCCATGGCGACTGAATTCCCAGACACTGAAGATACTGCCCCCACCTCGCCCGCGCCGCTCACGCTCACCCGTGAAATTTTATTCAAATTTGAAATTTCAAAGGACTTATGGACCACCCTGTATAATAGGATCTAGAAGGTTGTTTATTAAGGATTTGTTAAAATTTCAAGGTTCAGGCATTTTTTTAGTTTTCATCCCAGCTGCAAGGCTTTAAACATATTATGTGTAATTTACATTAGAATGTAACTGGCAATTTGAAGCAGATAATTGTGAAATTTCAGTATACCTGGTGGCACTCGCAATATCAAGACAAATCTAGAAACACCTAATAGCTGTAACCCGTGTAATAGGCATTTCAGCGTTTATTTTTGACTAAAATCTACCATTTTGTTTTTATAAAATTTTAATATAGCCAGTGTGTAAAATAGAATTTTTCCGTTTGCTTTGCGACTACTTTAACTATGACCATCCGCAGATCGTGCTGTTTTGTGCTTATTCGCAACTCATCAGGATCTTTTATCTGGTATTACGACCACTTGACACGTTGAACCTGATGGTGCTGCGCGAAATCTCTGCGCTTAGCTTAGAACGTCGAGCAGTTTATCTTAGAGTACGTAAGGGGCCATTCAAGTATTACATAAGCAGACTTTTGGCAATTATTAACCCACTTCTCTCACAATTAGCAAGTGTCTTACCTCCCCTCCAATGTTTACATAAACATTTTGGTACATTTTACAATTCTGAACACTATTTAATGTCTGGAAAATCTGGTTCGCCGGTTCCAACATACTTTTCAGTTACATGATAACCATCAATTTCCATTGCACTCTGCTAATACATTTCCGGTAATTGCATCTTTCTAAATGAGACCCAAAATGATCATCAGTCATCAGCCCTACTGAGCGAGGGCCGTGGCAAATGCTTGTTCCGGAAGTTGATCTCTTTCTGATCACGCATCCTGTCCCTTACAGCACTGCTGTCCTGTCCCCTCTGGGTAACTCAGACCACGGTGTTGTGGAGGTTAGGTTTCGGTCAGAACCCGCTGTGGCAGCAGAAACTCGTTCAGGCCGCAAAACTTGGCATTATGGACATGCCGACTGGGAGGGGCTCAGATACTTCTTCTCTAGCTTTCCTTGGAGATATGTCTGTTTCACTGACGCGGATGCGTCGACTGTCTGTTCTTCGATAACCGAAATTGTCCACGTCGGAATGGAGGAATACATCCCTCACACAGTGAAAGCTCCTAAACCAAGGTCCAACGGCTGGTTTAACAAATCGTGTGACACTGCTCGCCAGCAGAAGATCAAGGCACACAGAACCTACTTACAAAACCCCACTGTAGAGAATAGACAAGCCGACGCTGAGTCCAGAAACAAATATAACGAAACGGTTCGCAATGCCAAAAACCAACACGATATAAAAGTTAGGCACAGGGTAATGTCGCAGCGCAATGGCAGTCGGTCTTTCTGGACACTGGCCAAGCAGATTGAAAAGAACTTCTCACACAGTAGCCTTCCACCACTCACGTGTCAGGATGGAACTATTGTATTCGACTCAAAGACCAAGGCAGAAGTGCTAGCCAAGATCTTTGCTACCAACTCCACCATGGACGTCCCCACCAACGCCCAAGTGCCGTCAATTCAAAGGGTTCCCCACACTATGCGGGAGGTAACATTCAGGCATAAGACCGTAAGACGAGTGCTCTTGTCGCTCGACATCAACAAAGCTTCTGGTCCGGACTTGATTCCTGCCATCGTATTGAAGAGATGTGCAGCGGAGTTTGCTCCAGTTCTTTCCCGTCTCTTCCAGATATCTTATGAATCCGGCACCTTCCCAGAAAACTGGAAATTTGCTCATGTCCAGCCCATCCCAAAAAAGGGTCTAAGACCGACCCTTACAACTACAGGCCTATAGCTCTGCTTTCTGTTTTAAGTAAGGTGATGGAGAGGTGCATAAATCGCGAGCTTCTGGACTACCTCGAACGTCACAGCTTGATTAGCGACAGACAGTACGGTTTCCGGCACCAACGATCCACAGGGGACCTCCTAGCTTACGTCACGCAATTGTGGAGTAAACTCATCCAGTCTCATGGTGAGGCTCATGTCGTTGCTCTTGACATCACGAAAGCGTTCGATCAGCTGTGGCACGCTGCCCTCTTAAGCAAACTTCCATCCTATGGCCTCCCAGAAAAGCTTTGCAGATGGGTGGCTGACTTTATCTCTGGCCGCAAGATATCCGTCGTAATTGACGGATTCTCCTCTTCATCCCACAACGTCAACGCGGGTGTTCCCCAGGGATCGGTCTTGGATCCAACACTGTTTCTCTTACATATCAACGACCTCCTTTCCTGCACGATCAACCCAATCCACAGCTTCGCTGATGACAGCACTCTACATGCAGGAACTCAGAGTGACAAGCCGATCTCTGCCGCCGAGCTGGAAAAAAGAAGACTAGCGACGACTTCTTCTCTGAGAAGAGACCTGGAGGCTATCACTGCTTGGGGACGCAACAATCTTGTACAGTTCAATGCTTCCAAAACACAGTACTGTACTTTGACGAACAAAAAGCGTCCTAGCGCTCATACAATTTTGATGGACGGCCGAGTTCTACCAAAGAGCTATTCATTTCGGCTGGTCGGAGTCCAGATCACCGAGGACCTGATCTGGCACGAACACATCTCGTCAATAGCTGCAGCTGCTGGGAAAAAGCTAGGCTATTTGTTAGGGCTAAGAAGTACTTTTCTCCGCATGACCTTCTCACTCTATACAAAGCCCAGATAAGGCCTAGCCTCGAGTATTGCTCACACATTTGGGGTGCTGCCGCCCCGACTACATTGTCCATGCTCGATGCTGTCCAGAGGAGGGCGGTCCGACTGATCGATGACTCTTCTCTAACAGACAGTCTCGGGACTCTTTCGCACCGGCGGGCCGTCGGCGATCTAGCTCTTTTCTATCGCTACACCAACGGGCTTTGCTCCTCAGAGCTCTCTTCTATGATGCCGCCGCGCGATGTGCCTGCCAGACAGACACGCCTGACTTCGGCGTCCCATCCTAACCGTATCAAACTTCGTACATCCAGAACTAGCCGATACGACCGCTCCTTTGTCCCGAGGGTGTCTAGATTGTGGGACAATCTACAAGAGGAAGCTTTTCCCAGTTCTATTAACCTTAGGCAGTTCAAAAATCGTATTAACAAAATTTCTTGTTAGTTAATGATCCTTACTGGAATACAATATTAACCTAGCTGTATCACTGTAGTGATTCTATTTATCTACAGATTGAAAGCCATTAAGCCACCGTTCAATTATATATAACCTACTTGGCTTCAAGTGTATCTCCCTTACTAAAGAAATATTTTTAGTTTGTTTAAAAAAAGCCGATTTCACACACTGTCATCAATCAATAGAAATGAAGTTTTATTAAATTTTGTTTATATTTAATTTTATTTTAAAACAACTGAAAGTATTTTATTTGGTCGCTCAATTGCAGCGACTTAAGTTTTTGAAAAAATCCTCAAAACGTCAGTCCTTTGACATGTCACAATCCCAAAAACGTTCAATTATCGTATTTTGTGGCTGAGCATGTAATGTCTGCCGGCGACGATTGTCCAACCTGAATTGTCGGAATTCTCACTTAATCTTTCCCATTGATCAATCTCCCCCTTGTTCAGCTTCTCTATAATAACCACAGGTTTGCTCTGAAGATTATTGTCGTCAGGTTTTACGTTGTAAGCTTCCAAACTAGCCATGTTTATAGTAAGGTTAGATGTAGGTTGGTGATAGGTAGATATAATTCGTACGTCCGGCTGATCTTTAAATTGCACTCGTCGGTTTTTCCTGGGATTTTGGTTTTTGGACAGTCGATTCTGATTATCCTC